CTTTGTCCATTTTGCCGACTAAGCAATATCCATCAATCAGCATAGTAAACATAATGATATCAGGTTTCTCACCTATGTCTGTAACCAAGTCAAAGATATGGTGTGCTTCCATAACCCTTCCTTCATTGCATAGACTGCCCATTATTGAACTGAAGAATGCAATGTTTGGACGAGCAATACCTTTGTTCATCATTTCAGAAACTAACTCCTTCGCTTTCGCCAAATCACCATGTGTACATAAGCCCTGAACTAGGGAGTGATAAACAACTGTGTTCGGTTGTACTCCCGTTCCAATATCTGACTGAACTTATCCATAGCATCAGCCAGCCTACCCATTCTGCAAAGTGCAGATATTAGAGTTGAATAGGTGAATACATACGGATTCAGTCCTTGTCCCCGCATGTTAGTAAGTATGAGCATAGCTTCATCAATCATTCCTTGTTTAGCATATGCATCAATTAATATGGTGAAACTTGGCAGTTGGGTACAATACCGTCGCCTTCCATTGAATTAAATTGACTCATCATATCAGCAAAGCTTCCTTCATTGGCATACACACGAAGAAGGGTAATGTAGGAGACAATATTAGGTTTGTGGCCCTTTGCAGCCATGGAAAAGAAAATTTCTGCAGCTTCTTTGCTTCTTCCATGCTTGCAAAGGGAGCCCATGAAGGAGTTCCAAGTGAAAATATCTGGTATAAGACCCCGGCCTGTCATTTCTCTGAACATTTTACCTGCCTCTTTCCACCGGCCCAAAGTTGAATATCCATGGATCATACTATTATATATCACTTTATCCGGTCGGACATCATTATCAACCATTTGCCGAAGGACCAGCTCTGTCTTGTCAATTGCTCCTGCCTTGCACATTGCATCAATAATCGAGTTATATGTCACCACATTAGGCACAACCCCTTGCCGGGTCATTTCATGGAATAGATTGCATGCCTTTGCCTACTTCCCCTTCGTTAAAGAAGCCATGGATGACCGTGCTATATGACAGCACACAGGGGGAGCAATCATCTCCTTTTGCCATCACCTGGAGCAGGCCGAGCGCTTGCTGGCTCCTGCTGTCGTCACATAAGCTCTTTAGAACTACTCTATATTGTATGAGAAGGAATTAGGCACACAGCCGATCGAGGACAGACGTCCTATGAAGCAGCACGTCCACAGCTTCCTCTGTCCGTTTTGCACAGCAAAGGCACTTGAGGACCGTGTTGGCGACAACCTCATTTGTTTTGAGGCCGGTGCTTAGGAGGCGGCTGAAGTAGGCAAGCCCTAGGTCAGGACGACGCACGCGGCAGCATCAGTTCGTCAGGACGGCGTAGGTGTGGACTGTGGGCGACCCCACCCGCCGGCCGGCTTCTTCTCGGCATACACGGTTGAAGAGCGTGAGGGCAAGGGAGGGGCCGTCTCTGCAGGCGTCGGTGTCCCGCGCACGGGCAAGGCCGATGAGGAAGCCTTTCAGGGCATGCTCGGCGACCGGAGTGGACTGCCGCAGCAATTGGTCGAACAGGTGGTGTGCGTCTTCCGGGCTGAGTGTCCCGGCGCGGACGCGCTCAGCGGCAGTGGCAAAGGCGGAGTGCGGAGACCAGGAGCGTGAGGGCGGCGAGGTGGAAGTGCAGGAGGAGGAGCAGCGGCGACGGAGGAGGAGGAGGAGGAGGAGGCAGGACATCGGCGTAGAGAAAGGAGGAGTGGCGGGGAAGGCGGGACGGGCACTCTGCGCGTACTGGACTGTATTGGTATTGCTTCGCTTTGCTTGTGAAGGCATATCATACTGTCATATACCACTCCTTTGTTTTCTATCACAAATACATGCCATTTTTTGAGATTACAATAACATCGATCACCTTTTATTGAATATATTCGTGTAAAAACTAAGAATAGTACAATATTCTACTCCATCCCTTCACAAATAAAAGTATAATAGATAATATTAAATATTTTCCACTTCTCAAAAATAATATTGTTTGAGGCAAATCTATACACATGATTTTCAAATTGAAAATGTAAACAATTAAATGATATTTGATCTAAGATTTTGACTGAAGGCCCGTGTAAGGCCCCACTTTAGTTGTGATATGAAGGAAGTAATATTAATCGACGGACTGTGTGTCATTATCTAAGAAAAAGAGTTTTCTCCTTGCAACTCTCGCGATAGAAAAGGCGGCTAGGGTTTCCTAAACAGACATGAAAACAAACAGGATTTTTTTTTTAAAAAAAAAGCAAAACCAATAGAGATTAAAAGGGAAAAAACGAATAAAATCTTCTCAAAAACAGGAAGGACACGCTCGACCCAATAGCGGCCACATGGGTCTGCATTTCCTCTTTCGCCATCCGATATGCTTGGATTTTGATTAGAAAAATGTGAAAAATCTTAATATGCTGTTATTTTATGCGTTAATAATTTTTTAAATACTGTTTTGGCTACAACCATAATCAAATAGCGTACGATCCTCTTTGTTTCGCATCGACGTCGATTTGGATTGAAAATGAACACCTCAACAAAATCAGATTGGAGATGAAAGAAATCATCTATAGCCACACATCCATGCCTCGGCAAAAACCTCAC